AATGCATGGAAACACATGGTAAATTGAAAATATCATAAGTCAAAAGTGCATTTCATATACCTATCCTACCAGCAGTCTAGCTTAGCAACACAGCACACTGTAGAATTTTGGTAGTTTCCCTCTTAATCTTGTGACTGACAGGAAACTACAATTCCTGTTGCTGTCCAGCATCTTGAGAGAGCATCAGGCCACATAGCACCAGCCCACGCAACAATCAAAACTCAAAGTGTGCTTTCTACTGAGTGTTTATCACTTTTGCTCAGCGGTATATTTGAAAAATTGTAAGACAAGCCATTATAAGCCAGGGGCTATCTGTCCTTGGAAGATATTTATATTGAATGTTTGAAATTTTCTTTGGTTACTTTGTAAAAGAAAAATTTTAATGAGCTGGTAGTGAACTGAGAATGATTGTGTTCAACTTGAAGTACCAAGAGCCCTGAGTATTTTCTTCTTTGTATTTGAGTTAGGGAATTTTCCAAAGCTCTCATTTAGATTCAGGGACATTTGAACTATGGGATTATGTAATGCAGGTGGACAGTGGAAGAGTTAATATTTCTTACTTGTGCTCTGTGTCTACTCAGTCGGAAGATAATTTAATCATGAATTTATATTGGGCTTCTGCTAAAGACAAAGTAGGTGCATGTTTTTACATTTGAAAAAATCCTACAATAACTTTTGAGTTCAAAAAAGGTTGTTCACACTTTAAGAGAAGAGCAAACTTGCCAGCACATTAATTTAAAAATAATGACAGTGCAGACAGAAAATAGCAGAAAGGATAAAGTTAGTGTCATATGCCTTTTAAGATTTCTAAGTTATCAACAGTCAAATGTAGAAGACATCTCGTACTTTTGTTTAGTTTTTTGGGGAGGGAGAATTTTTATTTGTTTGTTTGGTTTTGGTACCAGGGGATTGAACCCAGGGTGCTTTACCACTGAGCCACATCTCTAGACCTTTTTATTTTTTATTTTGAGACTACTCTCAGTTAAGTTGCTTAGAGCCTTGCTAAGTTGCTGAGGCTGGCTTTGAACTTGTGATCCTCCTGTCCAGCTTCCTGAGTTGCTGGGAATACAGGGCTGAGCCATCATGCCCAACCCCAAGATAACCCATATCTTAGTTTGAAATTACAAAGGGCATTCAGGAAGATCGGGAAGGAATCTGAGAGTTTAACAGGAACAACTATCTGCTCATGTTAGAAAATGGGGAAAGGAATGTCCAAAGTTCCAAGTAGACTTTGGCTGGAATATGGTACTTGGACTTTTAATTCAGTACACCTCCACCTGCTGCCCCTGGTTTCAGGGCAGGGTCCTACCTGGAAGTGGCAGCAAAGGCAGAAAACAGGACACATGGAGGATGGAGGACACAGGATCCTCTAGGGGTCCTCCAGCCCTCCTCAGAGCAAAGCAATTCCAACTTCTCCTTCTACATTTGGATTTTTCTGTTTAGAATTGATGGGGGAGGGCAGTTTTCCTGTACCATGATATCATTTAAAAATTTTCAAAATACGTTATGGTTCTTGGAGTTAATCACTGGGGCAAGCCAAAAGAAGAAAAGGGAAATGGGACTGGGACAGGATGAGACAAACAGAACCTTTGATTCGGTCAAGATTCTTCTCCTGACAGAGCCACTGTGGAAAGAAGGAATCAGAAGTAGCCTGGAAACTGATGGCGACCAGGTTCGGTCCTCCTCAGAGTGTTAGCTCCTATCTATAAATCGATGCTGAGGGAGGGGTTTGCATGTGGCAGTTGATACAAATGCCTTTCCAGAAGCTTTTCTAGAAAGTTGCTGTCATAGCCTGGCCCCCTACCCCACCCAGCTGCAAAGCTTTGCGGGTTCAGCTGCCTTCAGCTTCTGGCCACCCTTCAGACTGAGTGCAGGTTAGGCATCAATATCCACAGTGTGCCCTGTCCAAGCCTTGCACTCCCTTCCTGCTCCTTTGAGTAATTCACAACTCTGAGCAAAGTTGCCCTTTCGATTCCTATGTGACTTCGTTCTTGAGACTCAGGCAACCCCCCTGAGGGTTTCCTTACCTGCATCTGCCCAGCCCTGTCTGCCCATTCCCTGGCACATGCACAGATGGTGTGATGTGGCCGTGACCAAGCCACAAAGGCCTGCGGGAAGATTACCATGAGAAATGGAGGACTTGCCTGGGCAAGAGGGGGAGCTGTGGCCATGGCTCTCACATTATGCACTTTTAAGTGGCTTAACACATGTGTCCTGAATACAGGACTTCTCACACTGTTGATTTAAGGATTGGCAGTTGATTTAATTTCAACTGCTGACTCTCAGTTTTCTTAAAAATTTCTTGGCCTCAAAATTTCTGAGGGATCTAAAACAAGCCTAAACAAGCTTCCCTATCTCAAAAGTAGATAGAAAATGTGTGGAGATAGATTCATGTCCCCGCTCCACCACTCATGTGCTCTGAGCCTCCCTGAGATGCATGAGCCAGAAAACTTCCTTGCCCCAGGTAGTCAGAGTACCTCCCTAGGGACCACCTGGGAAGACGGCTTCACACCTATGTAACAGCAGAGGGGAGAACTGGACTGAGCATTTATGTCAACTGCCATCCTTTTAGGAAAGCATAGTGGGCATTCCAGATGGCACTGCCACTCTTTGTGGGTCTGTCTGTCCCCTCATAAACTGAGTTGCCAACAAGCTCAAACTCTTGGGTTCAAAAACCGAGTCCCCAGATTCACTCACAGGATCTGTTTCATCCAGGCAGCCACCTGGCAATGAGGACCTGCCCATGAAGTTTAGTCTTTTTTTTTTTTAACATTTTTTTAGTTGTAGATGGAGACAATACCTTTATTTATTTTTATGTGGTGCTGAGGACTGAACCCAGTACCTCACACATGCAAGGTGCACACTCTACCACTAAGCCACAACCCCAGCCCCTGAAGTCCAGTCTTTGTCACAGTCCTGAGGGTGGCATTGTTACCCCACCTTCCAGAGCTCAGTCAGGAAGCTGCTCTGCTCATACTTGAATCCAGGTCTCTGTGACCTAAAGCTCTTTTGCACTGTGTCATGCTATGTGCTCTTTTGCATCGTGTCATGCTGTTTATATGCAACAAAGAGAAAAACATGTTGAACTTAATTTCCCTACTTGTTCAGTGATGGTGGCAAAACACAAGGTAAGAGAGGAATGGCAGGCAATAGGTTCTTGCCCTGTGGGCTCTTGGCACAGTTATAGTGGAGCAGACTTCTGAGTTGGGATGTTCTCTGGAATGACATCTCTGTGCTGATTGACAGGTGGCATGATCAGAGCAATAGGCAACTCACTCAGAGGTGGCAGCTTATCAGCAAATCATGGGCAGAAAAAGTTTCAGGTTGTGTTAATCCATAAGCAGTGTTTCTTCTTTCTGTTTGGCTTCCAGTTAAGAGTTTTGCTACTAAAAGCTGGGAGTAAATCTAGATAATAGGCACTATTGAAAAGCATTCACTGCATTCAGTATATTGCCTTGTGCATTTGTTTCTCTGAACAATTCCTCCTCCTTCTATTCTTTCCTTTTGAATTCTTGTGGAATGTGTTTTCTTCTGAATGTTTGTTCTTCTGTTTATTTTGTTGTTAAGATCTCATATAAAAAATAAAAATAAATAAAAAAGATCTCATATAAACTGATACCTGAAGGGATTTCCTCTTGGTTTTGTTAATGACATGATGTTGATCTGCTGTCCAGATGAATGCTGGCAATGTCAAGTGCGATTCCAAGGTTGCTTTACGACTGGTGTACAGTCATACCATTGGAGTGGGCACTTGGGAGTGCCTTGCTGCCTCCATTCATGTTAGGCATCCAGGGACTACATAATGGGAGCAGCAACTTAGAACAAAATACACTGAATTGCAGCAGGACACTGTCCTCCTTTCCAGGACTAAAGTAAAAGTGCATAGATGATCTGCCTTAAAGTGTCTTGAAACTTAAAATCTGTTTCTACATTAGTGTTTACAACAACTTTTGTTTATAGCTGCCCTATAGTTGTGTGTACCTGTTCTTCAAACTCAAGCTGTGTGCATAGAGCTTTCATTGATTTTAGAGAGCCTAGAAACTCAGGAATTAAAAATAATAACCTTGAGCTGGGGTTGTGGCTCAGTGGTAGAGCACTCACCTAGCATGTGCGAGGCCCTGGGTTTGATCCTTAGTACCACATAAAAATAAAATAAATAAAATAAAGGTATGTGTCCAACTAAAAATAAATATTTCAAAAAAATAATAGCCTTACACATTACTTATATTCAGTTTATCTCCAAATGGGTGGATAGACGTACAGGATGGCTAAATAAGAGATGATCCCTAATATTAATGTTTGACAGAGTTTAACTTTAAAGTGGGTTATAGCTCTCTTCATCTTATTATTCCTGCTACAGCAATCAACACAGGGCCTAGGGGCCAGAAAACCTCAACCACAGATTTATTTTTGTTCTGATTCTTTTAAATTTTACCTGAAGTTTCTCCCCCCAGTTGTATCTTACTGATATCTAAACTTACTCTCTAAAATATAAAAATTAAGGGAGAACCAAATGCTGAGGAAACATTCATTCATATTTTAGGCTCTCTTTCAAGTGTGGCTTGATTTGTCAGTGTTCTCATACCAGCATTACTGCTTTCTAAGTTTGCTTATATTTTTTAAAACTCTAATTGTTCTTAATTTTCTTATAAAGAACTCATTTTAAGTCAAATTCAGTTAAACCAAGGATCAGACTAGAAATAATCTCATTTATCATATCATTCCTTTAAACATTTAAATGTGTTTGAATACATATTTAAAGGACTAATTTAATCAAATCCTGAGTTTTGGAGAGAAAATTTTGCTTTCAGTTGCATATGTACATAGGGCTCTTTCTGAGAATGTTTCCAGAGGAGGGTGTGGGTGAAGTCATGCCCTCCGTATTTGGAGCATCCTGAAGTTCATATTTCAGCAATATTCACAGAAGGATGTTGCTCTTGTTAGGCAGCGTGGGACCTGGAGTGGTTTCTGCTGACTTATCCTTGCCCTGTCTTGTCTAGTGAGCCTTCCCCTGGGTCCCAGCAGTCACTGCAGTGGGGATGGAGTCCCACTGGTGCCATCAGAAGCTGAGGAGACTGTGTCCGTTGGCAGCTGTTTTGCATCAGAGGACACGACCGAGGACTCGGGGGTGGTCAGCTCCCCCTCGGATATCATCTCTCTGGATTCACAACACGACAGCTTGAAGTCCAAGGATAAATGGGCCACAGACCAAGAAGACTGCAGTGACCAGGACCTCACGGGAACCCCAGAACTGGGCCCCCAAAAGAGCTCCTTCTGGGAGAGAAATGGCTGTGGGAACTCACATCTGAGGTGAGTCTTGGCATGTCTGGGAAAGCAAGTCACTTCCATCCCATGTTCTAAGGAGGGGGTTCTTTGTCATGGCAAGCCAATTAAAATACATAAATATCCAAACACCAGGTGCCTTCTGCAGAAATGTGCACCCCTGACTTGATAGTTTTATTACCTATAGTCCTATCCTCATGCCACTTGTAGACATGCAGGCTCTTATAAGTAATACATAATAATGCTTTGCATTTTTTGACACTTCAAACGAATGGTTTGAACCATACTCTTAGTTTATTTTTCTACTCAACAGCATGTTTTAAAGATTTAACCATAATGATATATGTATCATTCATTCCTTTATTTTTTCATTTTTCTTTTTTTAATTTTAAGTTTTTTATTTAATTAGTTACACATGACAGTAGAATGTTCTGTTAATGGACATTTAGGTTGTTCCAGTTTTTCAGGGCTAGGAACAATGGGCAAATTGTTCATATAAGTCTTTATTTAAATAGAATTTTGTAGAAGAAAAATTTAATTAGACAATCAGAAAAAGTCATCTTCAGCTTTATGGAATAATGGCAAATTGCTGTCAAAAATGTTTGTCCTGTTTTTTGGTCTGTGACATCCTATCATTCCACATCTGTACCAATATTTGAGATTAGTAGACATCTTAAGCTTTGCTGATCCTCTGGGTGTCTGATGGCATTTCATGTGGCTTTAGTTTACAATTTTATTATTAGTAAAGATGGGCATCTTGTCTATGTTTTTAACAATTTGAATTTCTCCTTTAATGAATTGCTTTTCAAAGCCTTTGCCCTTTTTAAAAAAAATTATATGTTTACCTTTTTTCAATTATTAATTTTTCTTCTGTCAGCTTTTGCTCATGAAGAGTCTCTAAGTCTGTGACCTGCACTTATCTTTTTATTGTATAATAATTGTCTTTTAATGTTAATATCATTGAATATATCCTTTATCTCACAAATGTATATTATCTTTGCATATTTAAGAAATGCTTAACATTACCCTAAAGGACTAAAGATAGTCTGAATTTCTTGTAAAAGTTTAAATGTTGCTTATATTATCTTTGCATATTTAAGAAATGCTTACCATTACCCTAAAGGACTAAAGATGGTCTGAATTTCTTGTAAAAGTTTTAATGTTGCTTTCTCACATCAGGGCTCTCCTCTACCTGAGGTCTATTTTTGGGTGTGGTGTGAAGAAAGAATCTATTTTTTTTCAGGCTCCTACTTTGACTGTGACTGGATATTATGTTTTCATATATGCACTGGTCTGTTTCAGTGCCCTTCAGCATAGTACTGGCTCATTTCTCAATCCCTGCACCAACATCACAGTTTTGATTCTTTTTTTTTTTTCATATGGAAAGGCATGTTACTTCTGTTTCACCTGTCAACTTTTTTTACCTTTTACATAACTTAAAAAAACTAATCTGATAAACAATATTCTGGAAACATTAAAAGAAGTAAGTAAAATAATTTTTAAAATAGTGCATAAGTCAGTCATCAAAATGAATGATTGCTTTTGTATTTTCTATGTTTTGTTCCAACCCAGCCCATATGAACACATGAATCTTCACATGTTTTAAGTAATTATATAATCAATCATATTTGTTTTGATTTATTTTTACCTAACAGTTTATCATGAGTATTTCCCCATGTTATCATACATATTTTCTGATAATTTAAAAATGTAAATCTTCCATCTTAAAGATAATTCCAAAACCAAGTTCATATTCATCAGGGAGGGAATTAGAAAGCAGCAATTGTTTCCTTTCTACCTCTGTACCATTCATGATGCCTTTAACTGAACTTAGCCTCTGTTGTTTGTAGCTCTGAGAGAAGATCAAAATTATGGCATTTCCCTTTCAGTCATTTAACATGAAGAAAAATCTTTTTCTTTTGTAATCTCTAGGTTTGTTTGCATGGGACTTATACATATATGAGTCCTCCACCTAAAACTAATCAGGCATTTTAAACTTTGGGCCCCAGGGATACTGCACATAGGACTCATAGTTTGTTTTGCTGGTGCTGAGACTTATTTAAAATCATTCAGATATAAGAGTGAATGTTGTCTGTGGCTGCATCAAGGATAGTAGTCATTGAGTGTTTGGAACTTTTTCCAAACAGGGTATGTTTTTCTACTGTTATCTCCTAGGTATGCCTGAATTTTGACAATATCCTGGTAGGAAGGGAAGGAGTTTGGTAGCCTGAAAGATTGACAGTAGAATCCCACCAACAAGTTGCTTGACCTTGGAGAGTTCGCTTAACTTTTGCCAAACCTCATGTTCTGATGACGCATATGGATAGTGACACTGACCCAGCAGAGGCGTCATGACTGTGAAGAGCCCAGCTCAGTACAATGTAGGACATGTTGCATAGCTATGAAGCAATCTTCTACATTGTAAAATGGCTCCTGTTAGTTTAGGAAATGGGGACACCATTGATTCTGCAGCAGATTACTTTTCTTCACTGGTTTCCAGCAAGCTCATGAATCAAGTGAGGATAAAAATGAGTCCTTCATCCCTGTCTATGATACTACATTATTTTCCCAAGGGGTGAAATCAAATCTCTGCCTGTGATTTTTCATGAGATAAAACACTATAGTTTTGGAGGGACTTTTAAATTATTTTACAGGGATTATCTCAAATGACAAATTAAACATACCCCAAGATTTAGCACTGTTTATCACACATTTATTTACAAATACATGATTTTCAGTACACTTCAGGATGACTTGAAAGCAATGTCTATAGCGTTAAGAGAAGTTGTGAACTCAATTGCTCAGGGCTGGGCAGATGGTAAGGCTAAGGAGAACTCGAGAGGTGAGCAGCCTCCAGAGTGGAGGAAAGTTTGGATTTTCTTTAAAGACAGCAGCCTTTCCTCCTTCCAGTCATCATCTTGTGAGGAGATTATAGACCACATGTGGCTGTTTTGGGGTGGAGAAGCCAAGCATCCTGGTTTTTATGTGATGACTCCCAAAATTTCATTGCTGGCTACCAACTCAGACATTCAGGGCCAGACTAAGCACACATGCAAGCTGGGTGTGCCAGTTCCCAGATATGCCCTCATCTGAGGATTAAGGGATGCTTTGGTCATTTCACTTCTCTTCCAGAGAAGTAAGCATACTCTTCTTTCCTGTTTGCCAACTTTGATGTGGGTATTTCCTGTGGCTTATCACTTGAAAAATATCTGTTCACAAATAGTTTGGAAAGCCATTATATCCTTCTTTTTTGAAAAAAAATATACACGTGTGTGTGTGTGTATGTGTGTGTTGTAGTTAACACTATACCTTTATTATGTATTTATTTTTGTGTGGTGCTGACAATCAAACCCAGTGCCTCTACCACTGAGCCACAACCCTAGCCCCCCATTATGTCCTTATTTTAGCCTCAATGAGATATAAAAGGCTTTTTGCAAATCTTACAAAGAAACTTGTTCAAATGTCTTTGTTGTGAACACCTCTTAATGCTCTTTTGGATGAGTGCTCCTTTGAGGGCTCTTGGGAAGTGCTTTTCTATGTCTGTTCCCTGACACAGGTCACACTTGGGGCAGATACAAGTACTTCAGTTATCTGGCTATAGAAAGAATATGTCTCCTTTGATGAAAATGGTGCCTTCCAGTGAAAAGCTTTGTGTTCATATCTACAGAAGACTATTTTGAGATCTTGGAATACACAAAGGTAGAGAAAGATGGAAGGGGAAGGATTTGGTCCAGACAGACTGCAGGGGGCTCACCAGTCAGTAAAACATAGGTAATGCATAGTGGAACAGATGTCCAAGACTGTCCATGGTCAAATTCAGTGAAATGAGAACCCATGGGAGGGATTGGTGACTTAGAATCAATTGACACTGGAAGAGAGGAGAACCCACTTCTATTCGTGAGAATGTGGTATTAACGGTAGCCATCTGGACAGAAAAACCAGATCAGAATACAGAACAGTGATTAAGAAATTGTGGTACATATACACAATGGAATATTATTCAGCCATAAAGAAGAATGAAATTATGGCATTTGCCTGTAAATGGATCAAGCTGGAGACTAGCATGCTAAGTGAAATAAGCCAGTCCCATAAAACCAAAGGTTGAATGTTCTCTCTAATATGCAGATGTTGACTCACAATATGCATGGGGGGAGGGAGGAATGGAGGTTCACCAGATTGGACAGGGGGAATGGGGGGAAGAGAGAGGGGACTGGGAATAGGAAAGACAGTAGAACGAATGGAACAGAACTCCCCTATGTTCATATATGAATACACGACCAGCGAAACTCCACAGTATATACAACCACAAGAATGGGAAGTTAGTCTCCATGTATGCATAATATGTCAAAATGTATTCTACAGTATATATAACTAAAAAGAACAATAAAGTTTCTTAAAAAAACAAAAATACAGACCAGTGGCATCCATATTCAGAGAATATGACACTGGAAATTGAAACATAGTAATGAATAGGTTTTCTGACAACTCACATTCCCAGGAAGCATGAACAGTGTCCTTGCCCAATGTAGAGCCTCTGTTTTATTTGACCCTGAATATATGCCCCAAGGGCATTACTCCTGTTTTGGGTGGCAAAAGCCAGGTGGTGTCTGAAAGCAGCTTCTGTCCCTATCCCACATGATTCTAATACCTGGTTTCTTTATCTAATCTTGAATATTCTATGAGGAACATTTATCCTGCATGACAAAGGTCCAGGGCCTGACTGTGATGTCGCCCTTTCCATTCCTTTTGGATTCTAGCCCTTAGGGGCTCAGGCAAAGCAGAGTCAGCTTTTTCCACAACTGGCAAGGCCATACCTTTCAGCTTGGAATGGATTCTGCTAAATTTTGAAGATATCCCTGATAGTCACAGACACCGTCAGCTTGCAGGAAGTATCTACCATGGGGTCAGTCACCAGGAAAGGAATTATTGCTCATAGGTTTCAACTTGCCAATGTAGTATCTTCTGTTGCCACCCTCTGTTACTGGATAATTCACGGAACACTGTTTGGAAATAGCAGTAAGTTATTC